TGTTTTCCACCAGGTTATAGACTTCAAAATCATCGCAAGATTCATCTCCACCCTCCAGCCGCAGTTGAGCCTCTGTAATTAAACCTTGGAGAGGGTAGTTGTCCACCTGTAAAATATTTTGTATCTGACAGTGACACCCAGGAACGAATTTAGGGGAAAGAAGGGGCATGAATTGTCCTCCATTATCTTTCAAAGTTCCTCTTCCCCCCCTTTATATCTTCATGTATACCATCTTTTCCAAGAAACAAGTTCCATATGCGTTGTTGGGCTTTTCCTTACTACATAAAAGAGTATTTAGCTTAGTTTGATCTTAAAATTCTTTTTTGCTTTAAGAGGTGCCCCTTGAAAATGTTCTGAAATTGATTGTGATCCTGTTTGTACAACTCGGTGAATAGAATAAATCCCCACCAACGTTATTCATAGGTTCTAGGAAACTTCAACTCTAATCAAAATAATGTGCAAAAAAACAATTTTGCCCTAGGCTAGCTGACACCAGCGAGAGTTAAGTTCCCGTGGTACATTTCTGGTCATAAAAACATCACTAAACTTCTAAATAAAGACTGCAAAGATTTCTAATATTAAATATTGAAATAAATCTGAGCTTATACCTACATTTAAGAAAGATTAATACAATCAGGAAGACAAACTACTTACCCTCTTTTTGGGGAGTCAAGTGATAGTGGTTGTGGCGACGGTGGGTTAAATCAGGGAGTAAATGTTTGCAATTCAAAAATTGTAAGGAGCATCTCCTTTCACCACACAGTTCAGAAAACAGTCCCAGATATGGCCAGCCAGCTCGCAGAGTGCTTCCTACCACATCTATCATGGTGCATCTGTACAATTATTGTATACTTGACAAATTTTTATTTTGCAGTAATTTGTATTCACTCATTCATTTTCCAACCTACCTGTTCCAGTTGAGGAACTCCATTGGCTGATACCTCCCTGGCAGCTCAGGGTGCAGGGCAGGAACCCGCTGAAGCTGGAAACATCGCAGGGCACACTCACACCCATACTCACTCACACGGGGCCCACCACGCAGGTGGGCCTGCTCACATAATGGGCACAGCCTGGGGGAGTGGGAGGAAGCCAGAGTACCTGGAAAAACCCGTGCTGACGTGGGGAGTACTTGCCAACTCCACACAGTGGCCCCAGCCAGGTAATCAATTTTTGTTTCTCATCAACATTGTAATGAAATGACTTTGAACAAAATGGCATTATTCAAGAACCTGCTGTATGCTAGTAGCACTTTAAAAATGGGCAAATTCTATGGTATGTAAACTACATCTCAGTTAAATGGGGGGGATCTATGTGCATAAGATTCCTCTTGGTTCAAAATTCTGAATGTAATAAGCAAGCCCATGTGCTCAGTGTTAACTTTGCTTGTGATTTTATAAACCTTTTCCTAATACTCCCCTAAGCCTTTGCATTTCCTAGCTAAAGTGCTCTAGTTTTTTTCAGTTTAACCTTATGTACATTAATTTATCAACCAACAAGTACACGTTTAGCACCTCTCCTGAGCTGCAACAGAAAAATTGTTACAGGGACAATGGTAATGGCAGGAAGGAGGGGGGCAATTGTCACAGGAATTATTAATAATAAATTAAAATAGCAATTGGAACTATAGCCATTCTGTTGGAGAAGCACAATAGTGACTTAACTGTGATTGTGGTGACAGGGAGCCCAACAATTGGGTCCCTGCTAATGGGCCAACAGGGGAAGGGGTTGAAAAGAAGGAATGAGTGGTTTACATTACAAAGGGATTGTCTGAGAGCTGCTCAAGTGTGGTTATGAGGGGAGGTCAGGCTGGAGACAGAGGGATGATAACCGTGGAGCTGTCAAGGGCATCTCAGGGGTTTAAGCAAGCACTGTGGCAGCTAGACACGGCCGGCTGGGCTGAAAGCAGACACGTCCTGGCCCTGCCTCATGTTGATTGATAAAAAGGAAACACAATAAGAAGATAGTAGAGCAAACCCGGACTCCTGGGCAAATGTCACAGAATTTAAATGTGAGTCTTGGGATCCATAAGAACCTTGACTGAAAAATACTACTAGTTTCCCTTTGACCAGAATGGGACCATTCTATGGAGAGTCAAACTGCTGGAAGGGTGTGTGCGCATATGCAAATGCTGTGATTGGCAGATCAATTGAAAAAAGTATGTCCTTGACATCTGATGACCTACTCCTCATGGCTGCACATTTCCTAAATACACACACAGACGTGCGCCCGGCTTTTACCAGATGCTCTGGGGTATGTAAAGAAACATGAACATCCAGACTGCAGTCCATATTCCCTTAGTCCACTTGTTCTAATGCTCTCCTTTGTAGCATTTTATCCTCCCATTCAGGCTGCAGCCAAAGATTATGTATTGCAATTGGTTTTCATGCATTAGAGAGGCAGAAAGAGCAAAAGAATTTCATGAAACAAAGTGGGACAGAATGTTAAATATTGATGAATCTGGGTAAAGAAATGTTCTCCCCGTGTGACCCCTGCTGATCTCCTTATCCCAGTCTCCTAAGACTTGTACTCTTGCCAAAGACACTGCAGGCCCAGCAGCGCTCTTTTTGTTCCTCAGACAAGCCAAGCTATTACCACCTTTAGGCTTTTGACTCGAAGCCCCCTCTTCTCCCTGAGCTGCACACGGCTGGCTCCCTATCATTTAGCTCTCAGTTGAAATGTCACTTCCAAGAGAGGACATCCTGCTAACTGAAGTAATGACCCAATCACTTTCTGTCGTTCGGTATTAATGATCTGCCTACACCCACTGCTAGCTAATAATTGTGTCTGTCATGTTTACCTGTGCACCCAAAGCGCCCAAAATAGCACCTGGCAGTGGTTAGGTGCTCAAAAGTTATTTATTGACTAAAGGAACTAATCTGAATGTCCATAAATATGGAATCAATACAAATGATAGCAGTGCCTTATGCGTGAGCATATAATATATGCTTTATGTAAGACAATGCTTAAAATCTCCAACCAGGGAACATATACTCAAAGAGAAGACCTTGGCCCTACATTAACAGATTGGTGAATGGATGCACATTTATATGTTACAATTTGATGTTAAATGTTTAAGATATATATAAAATCTTTTTTATATTCTCCACTCTAATAAAGTTTTTGATTATGAAATAAGTACATATAGTATATACTTAAGAGGAAATCACTCTTTATTTATATATCTATAATGTACACACACAATGATTTCAATTATATGTACATATGTATAAGTAGAATGAGTATAAAAAAGCTCAAAAAGGAACTATATGAAAATAACGCATCATTTTAGGGAAATGGAATTATGAATCATTTTTACTTTTTTATTTTCCAACCTTTCTGCCTGTGGTCCTATTAGTCTTCTAATTTAGAAAATATTTTTAAGAGGAGAAAACATAATGCAGGATAGATAAGATTCTAAGTAAAACTATAAATGCCATTTGGATATGGAAGAATTTTCTCGAATTTGGCATGCTTAGTGAAGCTGTATGGGAAGTGGCAGTAACCCAACCTGGGCTCTGAAGAGACTCATGGGATTATTGAGGGTGAAACTACAAGGTAGAGAGAGCTCTTCAGGCTGAAGAAGTAGAATGAACAAAGATAGGAAGCGGGGAACAGCCAGCGCATAGGAGACGGTGAGGAAATGGGCCTACGTGAATGGAAGGCTCCCGAGTAGGGGAAGGGAAGCGAGTGGAGTGAGCTGAGATAGGAGCTCATTTTAGATCTTTAAAACTGGGAAGAGAGGTTTAGCTTAGAAGTTAAAGGGAATAAGGAAGTTCTTCCTATAAGGAAAGAAAGAAGTAGATTATTGAGAAAAAGGGTAGCATGATGGTATGGGTGTTTTAGGAAAATAGTTGTGTACGGGGAGGGAGACAGAGCTGACAATTGGGAGGCCTGACACCAGCATCCATCTGGTGTCCACGGCCCACACCAGAATCAATTCCAGCTCTGGTCTGTGAGCCTTAGAACAGCGTTCACCAGCCCTGCATCATCCATTCTAGTCAGAGTGGCCCATGAAACCTGATTGCCTTCCGTGTATGTCCCACTGGATAAGTGAAGCCTGGGGAGGGGGTACCCAGGAGAAGAGAGGTGCAGGCCCAGAGGATGAGGACTTGGATGTTAGTAGTTCTGCAAATAGAAGAAGGATGAGTCTCTGAAATGTTTCTTTTGTATTGGTAGGTCTGTATTTTAATTAGGGCCAGAAATAGAGATCTTTTTGTCAAACTTACTATTTAATGATTCTAGAAATGTTTCATTTTTTCTTCCCAGGTCTTTGTCACTAGTGTACAGTTTCTAAGCAGTTGCTTGTTAAAACGAAAAAATTCTTGAGTTTTAATAAACCTTGAAAATAGTAACTTCAACAAATGATGTGCCAAAAAAAAAAAAGACTATCACCCGTTTTTAATCTAGAAAGATTTGGACACACCTGCTGTGTCCACTCGTGGGAGTTAAGTTGTCAGAATATGTTAAGTCACTATTTTGGGTTTTTTTAAAAAAGGTTTTGTTTTCTGTTAGCTTTTAAGAGCAGGTTTTAGATCGCAAAATAGCAAACAAAATTAAAAATAAAATGAAATTGTCTCACTTGTGGTGGGGGAAGGGGGAGCTTCTGCTCTGTCTGTGTGTGGGCAGTGAGCAGAACAGAATGTTTATCTTAACTGCATGTTGAATTTGGAAAATAAAGTTAGCAATAGCCAAAAGGCCTTCTTTTGAATAACTTATCACACAAAAAGGGAAAACATAAATCTAGTGGCAAGTCAACTATCCTGTATATACTTGTATTTCTTGGATGGGTCTGCGCACATTCTCACTTCACCATATAAACTTACATTTCTGCCCACTGGATTGGTTCAAGGTCACTTCCCAGTAGCTCGAATTCAAGGTTTGTTGCTAGAAACCAGTGGCAGTTGATTTTTTTATTAATGACCCTTCTTTTTCCTTCCTTCTCCCTTTTCCTTCCTTTCCTTCTTTTCTTTCTTTTTCTTTATCTGGGGTTTGTGATCAAGAGCTTGCAAGACCCTATGAAAAAGCTAGTTGAGAAAGAAGAGAAGAAGAAGGTCACCCAGCTGGAAAGCACAGAGACAGCCGCGCGGGAGCCGAGTCAGTAAGTCACGGGCTGCTTCTCTTGGCCTGACCTTTCCTCCCATAGGTGAAGGCAACACCGTCCTCACACACCGAGTCTAGCTGAGGTCTCAGACAGAGAGACATCATCTTCCTCAACTCCTTTTGCACATATTCCTGGGAGGCCAGGACTCATTCTAGTAAGAGGCCCATTCTGGGGTACTTAGAAGGGGCACTCTTAGGAGCTGACTATGGCAAGAAAGGGCCGATGTCCCCAGGTCCCCCGGCTCTCTGTGGCCTCCCCAGCTTCATACTCTCTCTGGTCGCTGGGCCCTGTCTTGTCCTTTTGTCTCCATTACATGCTGTCCTAGATGGGGATCCCTGGCTTTTCTCTCTCAAAAGAGCTGACCTATGAAATTGCCCTGGGCACACATAGAGTACTAAGGCAGCATCACACAAGGGAAGGGTTGGGTTTTGGCATTTTGTTTTCTAGCATATAGAATTCCTGTTTTGCCTCCGTGAAACAGAACAGCTTCAAGTGCAGGAAGTGACTGCCCCATCTCCATTTCTTGCCTCTTTACAAAGAAGGCTCCTCTTGTCATTTTAAATGCTGAGATGAACTTTTCAACAGATGTGATGCATTGGTGCCTAATCGCATACATGGTACAGCGAGAAGGAGGTTTAGGTGTAAAGCTGTTATTTTCTACAGAGATACAGCAGCTTACAGGAATGCCTTACTCATTGACCTGGCTGACCTAGGAAAGCAAAGTAGATGGCCTTGCCTCCTCTGTTCACTATTTCTTTTCTACACAGAAATCTGTAGATGACAATCTTATGGTAAAACCGCTCACATTTTTACTGTATTTCTTATGTTTCAGATATATATTTTATCCTACTAAAGTATTTGCTGCCAATATTATTCTTTTTAAATTTTAAAGCAAGTATGCACTAGAAAATTTTGTGAGTGCACAATAAAGACAAGTTTTCACTGTGGGTCACACTGTAGATTTGTGATCCGAGTCAAGTAAAATTTTAAGGGAACCAGTTTTACTATTCCTGGCAATGGTAATGATGTGAGCTATCATCTGGTGAGCACCTACCGTATGCCAGGTGTGGTGCTGGGTACCTCGTTCATGATAACCCTCAGTGTCACAAAGGGGACATTGTCCTCACTGTGTAAAGTATGGAAATGGGGCTCAGAGAGGCTGAGGGACTGCCTGTGGCCCCCAGTGTGGCAGGGAGAAAAGCCTGGAGTAAGCCTGTGCATCTCCCTTTCACTATGTAAATTAACTCATCCAAAATAAAGCAGTCAACTTCACTAAAAAGGGACCACCTGGGATTTTCTTGACTTGTTTTAATTAATTTCAGATTTCTCAAATATTTTAGTAGTTCCCTTTTAAAAGCTCAGAAAGTGGCTCGGCGCCTGTGGCTCAAGTGGCTAAGGCACCAGCCACATAAACCTGAGCTGGCAGGTTCAAATCCAGCCCGAGCCGCCAAACAACAATGATGGCTGCAACCAAAAAATAGCCAGGCGTTGTGGTGGGTGCCTGTACTCCTAGCTACTTGGGAGGTGGAGGCAGGAGACTTGCTTGAGCCCAGGACTTGGAGGTTGCTGTGAGCTGTAATGCCACAGCACTCTACCCAGGGTGACAGCTTAAGGCTCTGTCTCAAAAAAAAAATAAAAATAATAAAAAAATAAAAGCTCAGAAAGTATAACCCAATAAATATTAAAAACGACAAGAAAATTTTGACAAGCATTTTGTTCAGAAATAGCAGATGAGCCACAGTGCTAGGAATAAAGTTCAGAGGCAACAAATGAGTCTCTGGGCAGTGTCTTTGAGGTGTGGGAAGAGTTGAGGAGGCACCCGTCCTCCTCGATTTGAGAGTAACCTCCAGAGGTGTCCTCCTAGAACACCAGGAATCAGAATAAATCCATGTTTTTCCATTGATTTTTACAGTGTTCTTAAAAGTGATTGCTGTAAGCATCTATCTTCTTTATACCTAACTGCCCATCTAGGTATTTATAGAATATTTGCCTTATGATGAAACCCAATTTCAGATATTAAGATGCTACACAAAGAGACAGAAATGTGTAACCTATCAATGACTATATGTTGTCTTTTCCTCCTGTGTGTGTGTTTACAGACATGTTATTATAAACGAAGTAATAGATACTGTTTTTAAAATCTGGCTATATCATAAATATAACATTTGAAAAACTTGATGACTAAACTTTTATTTTAAGGTTAATTTCATTAGAGGATGAAAACCAGCGCAAGGAATCTTCTAGTTCTAAAAGTAAGTTTTGATTTTTTATTTAGAATTGCCTTTGAAATATTTATTGCTCAGTGCTCAACAGCCAACTCATTCTCTGTTTCGGCAAACTTGTCCTAGACCTTTCTTCTTTTCCAGTTGAGAACAGGCTAATTTGCTTCCTGCTGATTCAGTTTTCGGTGTTCAAATATGAAAGATGTCAACCCCATAGCCCTATTGAGAGAGGCTATCTATTCTGAACCAAAAAACAGCTCCCCCAGTCACATCAGCAGCCACAGGGGAAACCTGGCAAAAGCTCTTTATTTTTCACAACAGATGATAAGATTTCTCTATGACCATTACTACTAGTTCCAGCAGCTATTTGGGCTGCAGGGATGGTTTTAATAAGATTGCGTTATTTCATGCAGAGTTAGATGTGTAGTGATTTGTGGGTGGGTGTTGGTTGTAGTTAGGAACAGATGGGGACAGCTCATGCCCTACTCTGCCAGATTGATTCTCAGCCTGCCAGGGATGAGCAGTACCAGATCCCTCAGGTGAGCGGAACCTGTGTGTTAGAAAAAGGGGGTCAGAGTGCTGGGAGATGACACAGGGTGCTGTGAGGGGCTTCCCAGCCCTTTGTCTCCTGCTGCTCCTGCCAGGTTTTTCACTGGTCTTTCACCTCACAAAGGAGTAGAGGGTGCGGTCGATTGTGGTCGAGCCAACGTGATGCAACTCGAAATGCTGAGAGATGCAGGGAAGTGTTTCACAGGTGTTCTGATGAGGACGCAAATCAGCCCAGCCCTGTTGAACCTGGCCCTCCACCTTTGCCCTGCCTTGTCCTTTGCTGGGGCAGACATTCCAGGAGACAGGAGGAGGCAAAACAGATCCAACTTCCCTCTGTTCCCTTCTCCTCCTTCACCTGCTAGCTCCCTCCATCTTCCTTCCCACTTTCCCAGACACTTCCTTCACCTACTTAATTCTTCCTTGACTTTATTCCTTCATTTGCTTCCCTCCTAGCCGCCTTTCAACAGAGAAAACAAACACAAAAACAACTCACTCTTTTGCCTCTAACGCTTGGCTTCCTGTCATCCGTTCATGCATGGCCACCTCCACTTGTGCGTGGATTTGTTCATTTGTTCAACAGATGTGTATGGAGAGCCGCCTCTGTGCCAGCCAAGGCTCTGGGCTCTGGGCATGCAGTAATACACCGGACACATTCAGCCCCCTCCAGGTCAGGGCTTCTAGGCAAAAGGGGAAGCAGATGGTAATGTAATAATTACACAAGTAATCGGGCAGCTCCAACTCCGGTGGGAGCTCCAAGGGAGAGGTGCAGGGCTGTGGGCCCGTGTGACAGGCCACACATGTTTCTGAGAGAGGAGGCAGTTAGCTATGCCATGTGCTATTGTAAGACTTGTCAAAGCGAAAGAAACAGCCTGGGCAAAAGGCTGCAAGCCAGGGAAACCCAGGTGAAGGTCAGAGAAAGCATGTTCCAGACCATGAGGGGGAGCGAGTGGCAGGAGAAGAAGGTGGGGGGCTGGGCCTGATCTCACAGGCCATGGAAGAGCTCTCTCTCTGGACAGACCAGGCCTCCAGCCTTTGCATACCCATAGCATGTGTCACTTGTATTATGAGAATCAACCTTGACTGGTGACTGGATAAAAAAAGTTGAGTTCTGCTCTTTGCTGTGGGAAAGTGTAAGCTGCAGTTTATTATATTCATATGCAAGTTGCAAATCTATTTAAATCATACAGTCCTCCAGTATGTAACAATGGAAGGGAATCAGATTTTCTCTGCCTTGTACAGTATAATTGCTTGTGGTATTTCCATGATATTTTGAGATTGTAAATGTCTATCAGCTTATTTGGAATATGCAGAGTGGAATCCATTATAATGAAGTTTCATCTGTCTTTTATTGTGTGACCTGCAGAAAGGCTAATGAACACATGAGCAAACCAAGTGTCAGGCTGTTCCGTTACATAAATACACATACACACCCTACACTTCATGGTTTAAAAAGTTTTTTGTTTCATAGCAAAATCAGGCACAAAGTACTCCACGTACCTTCCCCACATGTACATAGCCCTTCCCACTATCAGCGCTGTACACCAGGCTGGCGTATTTGTTACCATCAATAAATCTACACTGACGTCATTATCTCCCAAAGTCCATAGTTTACAGGAGGGTCCAGTGTTGCCATTATGCATCTTATAAACATTACAGACATATAAGGACTGTGTCCACCATTACAATGTTACAATAGTCATTACAAATAGTTCCACTGCCTTGAACATCCCCTGTGCTCTGCCTGTTCATCCACTCACCCCTCTGACCCTAGGCAAGCACTGGTCTTTTTACTATCTTCATAGTTCTGCCTTTTCCATAGTGTCAAATAGTCCAAATCATACAGTATATTCCCTTTTCTAAGTCCCTTCTTTCACTTAGTAATTTACCTTTTATTTTAGGCAGGCCCATATGGCTAAAGTTCATTAGTGTTAGCAAGTAATAGTCAATTACCAAAGTCACACATTTGTCCATGGAAGGAGAATTGTTAGATTGCTGTCATGTAATTTTCTGGGTTATCTTCCAAACATTGAGGTTTACTCCTGAAAGTTGTAGCAAACATCCGGGGCTGCTGTTAATTCAGTGTTGCTGAGAGCCAGTAGCTGGAGGAAAATGTAATCTTAGGACCCTGCTTCTGCCTGAGTGCGTATGTAGATGCTCTTTCTTCCCAAAGCTTTGCCTTTACCTACCTTGCAATAGAGTGTGAACATACGTACCATTCTGAGTTGGCAATAATTGCACATGTTGTATTACAGCCGAAGATGGAAAAGGTGTTTCATCGGCCTTAGACGAAAGCTCTACACATGGTGCCGGCTCAGGTAATCTGATTGATTAAGGAACACTTCTCCATTTTAATAATTTGGCTCAAACTCCTTACAAAATGAAACTGACTCATAATTTTGTTTTCTTTCCTCTAAAGGACCTATAGATGAACTATTAGACGTGAAACCTGAGGCAGGTGGTAAGATTCATACATTTCTTTGGGGCTATAAATTGTCTAATTTTTAATTCCTTTTTACATGCAAGAACACGTCCTGTTTAACTTTTTAATAGTTCTATATTCTTAACAAATTATTTTTAAGCGACAGTCTTTCTTAATGACTTTAAGTATGCCCAAGCATAAATTAGTATGTGTGGATATGTCACAGTTAATATGATTAATTTCATAATGTTCAAACTACTAAGACTAAAAGTTATGTCAAAAGTCACACACTATAGTAGAAAAACGGTTATCAGAATGAGACACACGTGGACTTGAATACCAGTTCTACATAAATAACCTGTATGGCTTTAAGCGACTTTATTGCTTCATACTTACACTTAAGCCTCAATTGTTCTCATTTATAAAATGGGATTGGTAGCAACAACCTTGCTGGGACATTGTCAGGATTGGAGAATATGTATGTATGGAAAGGAGTTTCATCATCTCTGACACAGGGATGCTCTTCAAATGGTTACCAGTTCGGGATTAAGGATGTTTTTCAGGCCGTTTACTATGCTGCATGTCTTCTGAACCTTGGCTTTGCCTGGTTAAGTCCCATGCCCAAGTTCACCAGACATAAAATCATCTGCTACACAACCCCTCGAAAGAGCGTTCAGAACCATGTACTTGGAAGAGCCGTGGATGGGTGTTAAGTGGCCCCAGGAAATTATATATGCAGCCTAATCATTGCCTTTGCTCTCCATCCCACCAAAGATTTCTTTTTAATAAAGTACCAAGAATCCAAAATACCCCTTACCGTTGGAGCCAAACTCCAGATCGTCAATGGCCTGTGGCTGGCACAAAGTCTGCCCAGGTTTCTCACAGGAGTAGATACTGGCCAGAATCATCCACGGGCCTCAGTTAATCAGGGCAGTTGACTTAATTCAGTCTGAGCTTATCGTGATCTGACTTCATAGAATGTGAAGAAAGCCTCTGGAATACAGAGGACATTCAAGTTTTTTCAAAAATGGAAAGGGACCATATCTCTGGCATTAAGTTTCTAGCACTTAGGAATATAAACGTGAGGGCATAAATTTGCTTCTCTTACTGTGGCAACATGCTGGGCAGTATTTCCCAACTACCCATGCCTGTTTTATCAAAATGACTAGTCATTTGTAAATACTGAAATCTACCAGGCAATGCAGGTAATAAGTGGTTAATGCAGATTGCCATGAATGGCATCCATTTTTGTAAAAACTTTTTCCCTTTAGCTTAAGAATAGAATATTGGGAAGGAATAAAAGTTATTTTTTGGAAGGGGAAATATTTTAATCTCACAAGCATCAGATAAAGATAATAACAGAACAAGTCTTAAGTTCCTAGCACCAAGTTTCAGCAAGTCTTTTTTTTTTCAACCAACAACTGATACTTATCGAACATTATACTCCCTTATGGGATAGGTAGATATTTTATTTTAATTTGTCTTTTTTTTTTAATTCAGATTAATATTAATGAGGCTCCATGTGATTGAGTTACATTGGTTGCATTTGTAAGATAAAGTCCAAATTGCAGTTGAGTCCTTCACCCAGGAAATGTGCCATATACCCCTATGTTGTCCCCATTAGGTGGAAATTTACCGAACTCTCTCCCCCCCACCACTTGATTTTCGTAGTGTTTTTCTCTCCTGTGGTTGTGTTTCTCTGTAGTTGTTAATCTACTCGTTTCAACATAACTGCTGAGTACATGGTATGCTTGCTTTTCCATTCTTGAGATACTTTACAGTGATAGAAAGTCTGAACATTTAACACATGTATTTATAAAATCATATGCTTCAACTTCTTTCTATAGGAAGATTGTTACTGCTTTTATTCCCAGTAGCTTCTTTATGTAATTTGCTTTTTGCTTTTATTACCTTCTTTAATTGTATTATTTTAATAAGTTTAATGTTTGAATAGCTACTATATTCACATTGGTACAAAAGCCAAATTATAATAAAAATATGTACAGTAAAAGGACTCCTACCCCCAACCCTCTCCCCGACTCCTTCATCTCAGGACTCTCATCCCCCCCCCATCCTTCCAGTGTTTCTATATAAAAACATAGAAAATAGGAGTCTATATTCCATTTTCCTCTTTCTTACAAAAAAAAGTAAAGCCCTTTTGGTGTGTTTTTTTCTTTTTTAAACTTAGTAGTAATGGTACAACCCAAGCCCAACGTTTATTCTTTTCTTCACACAGAATTATTTTATTTATTTATTTATTTATTTATTTTTTGGTAGAGACAGAGTCTCACTTTATCACCTTCAGTAGAGTTCCGTGGCATCACACAGCTCACAGCAACCTCCAACTCCTGGGCTTAAGCAATTTTTACAGCTAAGCCTCCCAAATAGCTGGGACTCTAGGTGCCAGCCACAACACTTGGCTATTTTTTTGTTGCAGTTTGGCTAGGGCCAGGTTCAAACCTGCCACCCTCGGTGTATTGGGGCCAGCACCCTCCCCGCTGAGCCACAGGAACGCCCCTTCACACAGAATTAAATTAGAGAGGCAGTAACCTGAGATATAGATGCTTACTTTCATAAACTTCCTCAAAAGCTTGTGCCAAGACTCATTGGAATAAAACTAATACCTTTCTACTTATTTGAAACAACTTTAGAACCTCATTAGTTCAGGGTTATGATCTTTGTTAGTTTTGCAGACTAGCAGCTCATATTCTTAGTTTTTTTTTTTTTAGCACTCAATTGAATTCTAAAGATAGGAGTCTGAATGTGTTTTCCCCTAAATCTGTATTTGTTCTCAATCAGATATATTGATTAACAAATTAAATGTAATGTCACATAATTTCTCCATTCACTTTATCAGTGCCGACCCACAAAGCCCTTCTTCAGGCACAAGCCACACTTCCCCACCGTCTGCTTCTTCTCTATTGTCAACCCACAGCGTAGCTGCAGCTTATATATTAGCACAGCCACTAGCATAAAAATTTTCTCTGCGTGCACACAGAACTCGTAGTGACTAAAAAGAACAACACGCATTAATGTGTTGACTTCAAAATGTGTGCCCTTTGGAAAACTGCCAGAAGGCCTCAATCCTAAATGAAAATGCTGATTACAATATACAAGACATTAAACAGTCAAGAAATAAAAAGAGCTTAGTTTAGGGACAGCTGACTTTATAGGACTTGGGGGCTATAAGCTCTAGCACCCTGTTGCTTGGGAACCAGTTCTCTCCCAGTGATGATTCTGTTAGATAAACGATGCCTACAGTAGTATGTCATCAGAAGCAGACTGCCTGTGACAGTAGCAATGCGTCTCTTCTCAAAGAGCCATTGCTCAGAAAATCAGTCCCATTCAGTATCAGAATGAAATTTGTTTTCTCCTACTAAATAGATAATATGATGGAAAACCAACATTTGACCACAGTTTATAAAAATGTTTTCAGTGAAAAAGAAACTTGTGACCTTTTGAGATACTTGAAAGAGACTCTGAACTTGCCTGCGACCACATGTGACAATCCAACCTCAATTCATGAGTTATAACAGGTCCTTGTGTTCTTCAAAGTTGGGTTAAGAAAAATAACTAGCAGGTAACAGAATTAAAAAGTGGTGTTAAAATACAGAAGAGAGTTCAATGAATTCAGCTCACCTGCATCTCAGAACTGGGCCTTACCTAAAAGATTCTTCTCTAGGACTTGACTAATTGAGTCAATTTTAAAAAGTTTAATAGTTCATATTATAACTAAAATGTTTGTCTTCTGCTACTTCCTTACTTACTATTTCCAGACCTGTGATTCTAAATTCTGGTCACATATCAGAATGCCAGCTCATCCAGCTCAGAGTTTTGAGTGAGAAACTAACTCAGAGCCATCATTCATGTTTATCTCTCTGCCTAGTTTTTCCCAAGTCATTCAGAACTGTCTCCTGCTATTATCCATATATTACTGCCTAGGGATGTGATTGCTTCCTCACATACAAAGTGGCTAGTACTAAGCTTTATTGTCTTTTCTTATAAACTTTTCTGCCTCCCACATCCTGGGATGTATTGCTGGTTTTAGTCCTTTCAAAAAAATAATGGTATTTATTATTTTTATAATAATGGCCCATAGCACAGTGGTTACGGAGCTATGGGTGGTGGGTTCAAACCTGGCCCGGGCCGCCTAAACAACAATGACAACTGCAACAAAAAAATAGCTGGACATTATGGTGGGCACCTGTAGTCCCAGCTACTTGGTAGGCTGAGACAAGAGAATTGCTTAATTAAGCCCAAGAGTATGAGATTGCTGTGAGCTGTGATGCTACAGCACTCTACCAAGGGCAACATAGTGAGACTCTGTCTCAAAAATAAATAAATAAAAATAAAAAATAATGGTACATTTTTAAAACCAAATCCTGTTCTTATGATCACCATGGAGTCAGTCATGTTCAGTATAGACTTACCACTATAAAGATTTCTATAAAGATCTACCCCTGTCCCAGGTCATATGTTTTCCAGAAAAAGTACCCCTCTGCTCAGTCTGTACTGCAACAGAGGAGAAGGCACCAGGCTCGTTCAGAAGTCTTTTTTTGGTGACCACTCAGGGTCTGGCACTGTGGTTTGGTTTCTGTTTATTTGTTGTTGGTTTCTCTTTTGTCTCCCAGAGAGTGGGTAGGAGTGGTTCCTCCCTCCCATCTGTTCTTATTATAGTCTCTCTTTTCAGCAGAGGGGACTTTTTAGAATCAGTGTTCTTAAATTCGAAATGGGTACAATTCGTTACCGGAGCCTTTTATAATAAGGATCATTTTTTTCTTGTAAGCAATTTTTGTAAGGTGGTTTCCTACCTACCTTTTCCCCTGACTCTCTTCTGGGTGATATGGGGAGAGAGTTGGTGTTTGGGGTTTTTCATCTGCATCGTGATGGTATGGCCTTTACCATGAGTCATAACGTCAAGAGTGGGGACCAGGGAGAAACCAGCATGAAGGAGTCTTCCTGCTTCACACGCAGACGAAGGGAAACCAAGTGACATTTATCTGTTTGTTTTTCTGTGCTCTTGTTTTCAGTCTGTGCAG